TTAATAATGAATTAAAATTATGTCATAACATAATAATATTTCCATGAATTGAAATTATGTCAAAGCATAATAATCGAAATACGGAATTTTTATTATATCGCCACATAATGTTAACTCGGCGAATTAACATTATGTTGCGATATAATAAAAATTCCGTATTTCGATTATTATGCTTTGACATAATTTCAATTCATGGAAATATTATTGTTACGACATAATTTTAATTTCATATACAATGTTATTATTTTCATAAACAATGTTGTGCGTATTTTATTTTGTCCATGATAAATTTGATAATAAATGTAACGGACTTGACTATTAAAGAATTTCGAATTGTTTTTGAAATTTTTGTAATCATTATTGCAAAGTAGACTAAAATACCTTTCTTTACCTCATTCATCATTATGCTATCTGCCAGGACTGGCGAGTTATTTACATAAATGTGAAAATGCGTACTTTATTTTGTCTAGTACTGTATATATGTATATGTATATATATGTATATGTATATATGTATATATATGTATATATGTATGTATATGTTAATATGTTAATCCAATATATACATATATACACGGAGAAAATTTTATATTGAAAATTACTATAATGTGGTAGTAGCTGCGGTCTTCATGTAAATTATAAGTTTAAATGCTATAGTTATTTTTTTAGAAACAATAATATAACGTAATTTTTACACTTTTTCATAGTAAAAATTTTTTATTACAAAATCAATTATACCTAGCAAATTTTGTTTGCGTACCATAATAAAAATTAACTGTTTTCATGTTAAAATATGGCTTAACAAAGTAATTACTTTATTTATGTGATAAAAATTAGTATTACCATAGTAAAAGTTAAGTCGGAATCATGTTGTGAGAGTCCATCGAAAATACAAGACATAGTAAAGTGTAATTTAAAATTGTATTAAAACTTAATATAAAATTTTCTCCGTGTATATATTTGTATATATTAATATCATAATAATATATACATATATATACAAAAATAACATAAAACGATATTAATCATGAATCATATACCATATATTAAATACATCGCAATTATACAAATAATAGTTGCCTGTTTATGTTTATTACAAACGCAAATCATAAATTGAGTCCGAAATTCGTTGCCATTTCGTTGATGGAATTAATATGGTAAAATAACGCAGAGTCAAATAGTTTTGATATCGAGTGAGAAAACTAATGATATTAATATTAATATACAGGGTGTTTGGCGACTACCGCATTTTTTGTCATACGTGGGTAGAACAGCCTATACTGAATCTCGAACGACGCGGTGCGCCTACTAGGCCATCTCCGCTCCTCGCAGTCCGCGCGCCGTGCGCTCGGTGGGCTGTGTCTTCGGCAATAGTAGATCAGGGGGACGCGCGTATTTGGCTATCTTTTAAACGTTAATATCTCGTTAACTATTGCTGACACCTCAAAATGGTACAGGACTTTTTGATTCAGTATAGGCTGTTCTACCCACGTATGACAAAAAATGCGATAGTCGCCAAACACCCTGTATGTAGGATTTTCTCTTGAGACTCTGACATGTTGGCGGTACGAGATATGAGAGCGAAATGTGATTGAAAAACAATTTAATGATTAATCAAAGAATTGGAAGATTTAAAGATTAATTATGTACAGTTGGCATGTATATAATATTAAAACAATTTTATGTTTTCTCGATATCCTTTTCCCGCGAATTTTTATATTTTAATAAATTAAAATATAAATATCTCAATCCGCAGACACACATTTTGATATAAATTGACAGAATGACATGAACAATAATGAACGTTGACATATTTCTTGAAAATTTTTATTAATACTTCGCTTTCAGGAGTATTATGACGAGGTTTCTGAAGCGAGTCATGTTGTACAAAATGGTAAACTTAGCGGTTTACTGTATTTTAGTCAAAACTTCTCAGAAGCTTTGCAGAAACGAATGGAAGATGGTGCTTTCACGAAAGATTCCGATTTACTCGCCAGTCAGATTCAAGTTTCCCTTGATATGGGTGGTACGTTATTCGTGTATTATAAAAAGCATTCTCTATAATAAATAAGAAATTTTATTAATTTAAATATAGAAAAATTTTAATAAAAAATATCATTTAAGAAATTACATAAAGAATCGAATAAATTAAGATCCAAACGATTTAAAATCATGAATATATTAGCATAAACGATGCGCAAAATTAATTTATTTATTAGTAAAATTACAAATACTTAAATTTACAATGGCTTTTGTTACAGATAGACAAATTGGGCTTTTCTTGCAGATGAAACTATTTGAGCGTTTTTTAGAGGTTTATGAGGATATCATGAAGGACTGTAAATATTCGCCAAAATTGGCCGATCCACCCATTCGAGTAAATATGTTTTATATTTTGTTATAATTTTAAATCTATCTTTTTTTCAATAAGAAATACTGGTTATGGACTCTCGAAATTAAAATAATGTAGGAAATTAGGCAAATGAGAGTTCGATGAGGTACTTAATGCACAATCATTAATTCTATGTATATATAAATTATATTTTTGACTTGCTGTACACTCGAACATTTCGAACCACTTCTTGAGGTCATCCTCAGCGAGATCAACAAAGAAAAAGAAATATAATAAAGTTTCCACCCTCCTGCATATCAGACGAGTCCCTACTGAACTGTGTATTACCAAATGCTTCATCAAGATTCAAAACCGGTAACGAATATAATGGAATAACAGATGCCTATAAGTTGTTAAGAATTAGTCTCTAAAATATTATCAGCTGAAAATTGTGAAGACTCACTTGAAGAACAGGAGTGTGAAATAACAATTTAATTGCAAATTAAGCAAGTTTCCATGTCAATTTTATAAAATTCTTTAACGGGATAGCATTGTAGCTATGATCTGTATCATCGTTAGAGTCGTTATGATTCAAAAATTATTTTCAAAAATACGAAGGTGAAAAACATAAATAAATAAATACCACTATTTTATATATGTAAGAACAAAATATTATTAGGAGCTGTGTAAAGTTACTAACAATGGAGAATTAAAACTTATTGAAAATGTCTACACCCGAGCAGAAATGAATCTAGCCAATCTGATTTACCATCTAGGCACTAGACAGCATTTACTAGATAAGATTTCTAACTCGTCACTGGATAGTCACTAGCTAATATTTCGTAATATCAATAAATCTGTCTAGTGACTGCCTAAATTACGACGTTACACCTACATGCTATTTACTGGGCAGTCACTAGACGGATTTCTTGACATAAGAAATCTGTCTAGTGATTGCCTAGTAATTACGATGTTACACCTACATCTTATTTACTATAGGCAGCCGCTAGACAGATTTCTTGACATAAAAAAATCTGTCTAGAGACTATAAGTTAGTAATAACGACGTTACACCTACATGCTATTTACTGGGCAGCCACTAGACGGATTTCTTGATATAAGAAATCTGTCTAGTGACTGCCTAGTAATTACGATGTAACACCTACATCTTATTTACTAGGTAGCCGTTAGACAGATTTCTTGACATGAAAAAATCAGTCTTCTTACAAGATTTCTTAATATAAAAGAAATTAATACAAAAATATTTAAAATATAACCTATTAATTATATAATATATAACGCATGTTTAGAATTTTTTTGAACTTACATGTAAAAAAACAATTCTAAACATGCGATATATGTATATTATCTGGAGTACTGGTAGTATCTCGGCGCTAAGCTGCACGAAGCGACACTGCCGTGCCTCCTTTACGTGAACCGACGAGTTGCGGCAAATTGAGATTATCGAATCTCAATAACGGCTGAACCGATCGCGTTCTATGTATGATCAATCGATAGCCATCACACGGATTGTATAATAAAAGTGCTTTTATTTTTTTTTCTACGTGCCCTACGAGCGGAGATATCGCGACGCAAAGTCCGGATTTTTTTATTTTAAGAATTAATTTAAGAAACGTCGTCGTCGTTATTATCGTTATTATCGTTATTATTGTCATCGTCGACCAGGAGAAAATGTCCATCTCGTTTTTTCGACAATAGAGGGCTTTTAACTTAACCAGCGATGGCATCATTGCACATTCGAACGTGATCAACCACACATGACGGCTGTGATAATCAGCAACGTTGTCACATATATACAAGGTGTCCGAAAAGTGTGGAAACGGTCGAATATCTCGAGAAATACACATCGGATCAGAAATCTGAAAATATACGTATTCAATGTTTTCAAAAAAGCTATCTAACATGACCCCCCACCCCCACCCGCTGTGGGTGAAAGAGAGGGTAAGTTTAAAATTTTAAATGGAAACCCCCATTTTTTATTGCATATTTCGCTTCTTCAGAAAAAGTCGTCTAAAAAAGGAGTCTAAAACGTTTAAAATATCTCAAGAAATATTCAAAGGATCAAAAAAATAAAAATGTACGTATTCAATGTTGTCAAGAAAGCTATCCATTGACACAAAAAATCTACCCCCCACCTACCATCCGCTGGGGGTGAAAGGGTAGATAACTTTAAAATTTTTAATGAGAAAACCCTCATGTTTTATTCCAGATTTCGCTTCTGCAGAAAAAGTCGTATTAACCCTTTAACGCCGAGATGTGCTGAATTTCGACATGGATTTTAACCCCCAACAATTAGCAGAAAAGAACGTAGACAAGTATCGGAAGGTCCATTTGTATGTAATAAGGTATCAGAAACGTGTTCCCGATAGTTAAACTTCGAAAACATGTACTGTATACAATTTTCATTTTTCGATTTTGAGTTCACAATGGCGCCTATAAGCTCGAAATTTTACGTACGGCGAATAAATTTGCAAAAAATATGCCCGAATTCGATTGAAACTTATTATTCGGGGGTTTTTGGGATCGCTGATTACGAATGTGAAGTCAGAATCCAAAAATTCAACTTGACGTACCTACAATGGCAGACCAAGTTTTCAAAATTTGA